CCATTATCAGTCGATCATTATACACCATTCGATAGCCCTTTTCAAGAGCTACATGTCTGACGGTTCAAATTTGAAAAAGCTCATTTTCGACTTTTTGGCCAAATGTCCGCTTGAATGCCCACTGTGCCCGCCCACTGCTTTTTCGACTTCGTTATGGTTAAATCTCGTAGAGAAAACGATTTTACACATTTTGAACTGCATATTAACCATTATTACATTATAGAGACTTTTTAAAACAACTTTTCCGAGGAGGTACATAAAGCATATCGGTGTTTAACAAAAACGCTTTTGCTCAAAATCTAATATAAAGTTCCGGTAAAGCTTGATATAGAAAAATAGCTCTTGAAAAACTCTACAATATTCTGACTGAACAAACCCTAGGTATAATTGGCTCAATCCTTTATGGAAACTTAATGAAGCTTGACAGCGGCTTTTGTGTATTAAATACTTCGCCACTTAATCCCAATCCCACAGTGGGTCTAAAAATTGTTCGCCACCTTTAGTTTTCATTTTTGTCGTCGACCGTAGCAGATAGACAAATTTGAAAAAAGATTTGAACAGCTGAAAGAATTTCCGATCTCAGGTGATGTACAGCACTTAATGGTTAAGATTTTCTAACCGAGTTGGCTTCTTTAAAGATTTAGTATTTCACTATTTCTGGTATTCCCTTTCAACAGCACTTGAGACAAGCTAATGTTTTTCTATTACTGCTCACTTCCGGGGCAAATTGCTGATTTAGTTCCTAAAACAGTGCGCATCTGTTTTATAAAGGTTGCAAAAGCATTGTTTTGACAGATCATTCAGCCGCCGAAGGCGCAAACTTTTTGTGAGAAAATGCAAAAGTCTTCCTTCATTGCAGGAAAAAGAACAAATCCTCGAAAGGTAGACAAATTGCGGACAGCGGACACTTTGCGGAAAAAACCACAGAAAGCGGAATTTGTTCGCAAAATGCGGACCATCTGGCAACTCTGATCTGAATGCTATTCTATAGCTAGAAAGAGCATGTATCCAGATCTTAGAAATGAGGTACACATTTTTTTTTACTTCAGATCATCATCAATATATATATTAACAAAATGCATCATAGACTGAATGCGATCGTCTCAAATTTTTACACTGATGTAATGATTTCAAACAAATGGGATAGAAGGAATCAGCAACGAGATAAAACGTGTCTGCAGCTATTATGTTATTTTGCAAATTTCTGTGCAGAATGTGGACATCAGAATTCAAGGAAAATCAGTGCAAAATCTGTAAAGACGCAGAATTTCAACAGATTCTGTGTATTGTCTACAAAGAATTTTTGTCATAATCTGTAACAGATCTATGGGAGAGTCTAAGCAGACGTGAAGCAGATTTCCTCAAAATGTGCATATCTGTTGCAGATTTTTGGCAGATGCTGTGAAAGAATCACGGTCAAGAAAACTCCCTCTCCGAAAAACTTTTCTGAGGCAGTTGGGATCCTAATTCCACTATATTTTACCCGGCTTTCTCTTCGGGAACATGATGCAATTAATTCACTCACTTCAGGCTCAGTTAAAGATTGAGCGCCATCAGCATACAGCAATTTTATGGTCCGTGTATAGGACCTATACGAACGGAAAAGTTCTTGGATTTGATACATTCTATGAGACAGAAATTCAGCTGACTGCTTTAAATTTAACATGTTCTCGAAGAGAAATCCAGGTAAAAGACCATACATTCATCTATTATACAATGCGACAAATGGTTCAATACATTTCTTTTAGGCAATTAAACAATTTTCATTAAAAAAAAGCCGAGAGTGGAAACAAGTGGAAAGCTAGAAAGAGATTTTTAATTTGTCCGATTCGCTATAGATTTTACAAAGAATCTACAGAAAAGCTGCAACGGATCTGCATTGCCGAAATATTCCTTACATCTATCAAGACGTTCGGAACCATTGTTGAATTTGTCAGTATATGACCGTAGCACTGCGTCCGATTCTTATGACATTCTACAAACGTATGAAAACTAAAATAATCTTGATCAAGCTCCTCGTTGTGCGTAAGCAAATGTTCTACGTATGTTGACGTTGATATATATTCAACCAAACTATATAAAATGAAAAGTTTAGAACATAGGTCTTGTCTACACTACAAAAGTTAAAGAAGGTTTAAGCAATTCTATTGGCTTAAACTAACTTTTAGCCAATAGAATTCCTTAAAGCTCCTTTAACTTTTGTAGTGTAGACAAGGCCATAGATTCTATTCGCTCCTTAAATGAAAAGACCTTATTCACAGCATTTAGTTGGTGAACTCTTGTACTCTCACTTGAACAGTAGCCAACTGGTGACGATTTATTTTCATCTTATAAAATTTGTTCTATGAGCAATTTTTTTGACTAAAAAAAATAGACTGTATAAAAACAAGCGGAACGAAATCGTTCATTTTATCGAAGAAAAAGTTATTCAGTGTGAAAATTATCGTCTGTGGTTCCGATAACAATACTATAATAGAAGACATTATAGTTTCCTTTATATCATATAACAGAATATTATCAAATATCATATTTATCAGTATTGTCCTAAATCTCAGCACATATTTCATGTTGTCGCTGTTGTATTCAATCCTAAATCTTTTAAAAATTCCCTATATTCTACATTGAATTTTTTGCGTTCATGTGTCGTTTTTTCAAATTGTTTTGGATCATCAGCGAGACTTGCTTCTTCTGCAGGTGGTTTCGGGGCTTGAACAGGAGCGTCACGCCAATTCAACGCCTTTAATAAATCTGAATAATCAATGAATCCATCATCTTGAGTCAGTCTAAGCAGAAAGAATCTTTTAATGTCGTTCTGTACAAATGGATTAACTTTCTTTCAAACTCACAGTTTAAGAAATATATTGAGCAAATAGTCTGGTAATGGTACGCGAACAGATTTTAATGCAATTCGAACTTCTTCTACTGGTAATCGTCCTTTCATACTAAAATACCAGAATATATCTAATCGAATATAATTCTGTTCACTGACGAATAACTTACGTTGGATCTCTCGTGATTAAATTTTCTTTCAATGGTGAAAATGTTTCATAATTATTTTTTCTTAATTGTTCTTGAACAACAGATACGACAGAATAAATATCATATTCTTGTATAACTTGTAGGGCATAATATCGTGCAATCGTTATTATCTCATGATCCGTAAGAAAATCTCCTATAGCAAATACGAATCATATGCTTAAAACGTATAAAATTAGCAATTATGTTTTACCACAAGTATTTTTCATCAGAGCGTAGAACGTTTCAAAACCAAAACAGCCATGATGATGTGGATCATTTGCTTCAAATTGGGAGACAGCTTGAGAATTTGATGAGAAAAATTGTTTTAATTTTTGCATAATAATCGAACGGTTTGCTTTTGAAAACTAAAATAAAAATACAGTATTGAATATTTAAATTATTTTCCTCTTGTTTTTGTACCATATGATTATGTTCTTCCATTAATTTAAATGCATACTCATCAGCATCAAACAGATCGAATAAAAATCCATTTATTTCAAGGCGTGCGCCAACATAAAAATCTTCGGCACCAAAATAATCAGAAATTTCGACAGGATAACGTGATTGATTAGGTTTTTTAACTTTTTGGCGTTCCAAAAATTTGCCACCTTGAATACCTATGATAAGAAAATCAAGTTCTCTTTTTGTAATCAGAGAAACATAGTTGAAATCATTGTGCGTTTCTTTATGTCAGTTCTTACTCAACCTGAATTTCTCACTGGCGGTTCATAGATATAAATAGTATCGTCACTGAGAAAATATGAAATGATAAAACGACGTGCAGCTTGAATGCCATCCTTCGTAATAATTCGAGCCATAAATCGTAATATATTTGTTTCATAGCCTTGTCTATCAAAACCCATAAATTTGTTATAATCTTTTTTCGGTGGTTCCGGTATGATTTTTCTCGTTGAACTTAGTGAATCTTCTTCACTACCAAAGCCAGTATCTTTAATGATCATCAATCGATTTAAAATTTATTAAAAGTTATTTACTTTTGACTTACAAGGATAGCTTTGTTTCATCGGTTTTGTATCTGCTACTTTTCTATATGCAATTGGGCTAAAATCTTGTACACCATATTTTGTTCGGTAATGATTTTTTGTAAATTCATCACAATCGGTCATTAACACTTTTCGACCATAAACATTTAGCATTTTTCCAATTGCCAAATCTTGGTCCGTATAATATGTTTCATTTAGAGCCCCCGTCTAAATGAAGAAAAGGATAAACTATATAGGTCAAAAGTCCCATTAGGACTCTGTCCGAGAGAAAACGCTTGTATACAGATAAATTTTTATGGTTTCAGACAAAGTTTTGGGAAAATCTCGAATAATAAAATACTCAGTTTCGACTTTTGTCCACCATACTTTTGAAATCAAACTGTTTCTAAACGTATAGATTTGTCGAGTAACCTTTTCTCATCAAAATGAGACGTAGCACAACTCAGTGTAATCTTCTGTTGAAAAGTAACAGACATTTTTCTACCAAGCCCCAAAGTACACTACCAAAATGCACGGCCTTGTTCTCAACATCGTTCTTTTGAAAAGTAGCTGTGCGATTTCCCAGATTTAGCTGAATTTTTCTCTGAGTTTTTGAGAAAAATGGAGATTTCCGAAACATTAACGAAGTCGTTTTCGAACTTTTGAGAAAAAGCTCTGAGAAGAACAACTACAGAAAATTTATTAATCCGGCTCTCTTAACTCATAGTCACAAGTCTTCTCATCGTTGAAAAAGTGACTCGAACTCTTAAGCATTTAAAATACAGAAGAAACTTGAAAAATGGCAACACCTACTTTTTCATCAGTATTTTTGAGATGACTCTGAGTTTTCAAGGTTAAACGTTAACCTAATCTAATCTAGACAGCGCAATTTTCAATGATAACATTTCTTTTTTATTAGAGGTGATATTGCTAATTTAGAAAGATATAACGCTCAAATTTTATGGAATATTAGCAGACTATTAACAAAAGGTCACTCGCCTGTAATGCGATATCCTCCGCTAAACAAATAGGTAAATAAAAAGACATAAACTTAAGAACAAAACAAAAGAGTAAAAATTTATCGGGTCGGGAAGGATTCGGGTTACGTTTTCCTAACCCGTGCAGGTCTCTAATCCTCAAGAAGAGAGATATAAGAGAAAAATTGGCTAATACTAACTAGCCAATTTTGCCTCGTTACGTTTACAAAGCTCAAACATACAACATATAAGATAAAAAAATCTTTTGTTGTTATTATCGTCATCAAGATATCACGAAATAACTTTATTTCATCTTCATCCACACGCGAGTTCCCAAACTATCCCTCATGTGCTATAAAACTACGCTGTTTTGCAGTATTAACAAAATTATACGTTTTGTGAAGGCTAACGGATGAAAGTATCCACTGACTGAAGTATTTTATCAGATTTAAGATACAGATTGAACTAGGAGAAAATCAGATGCTGTCTGATAGAGCTCCTGAGATTCTGTCCAATCGTCACTCTAAAAGAAATCCGTATTCATGGGTCTTAAATTAAGACGCATATGTGCGACTAATCATCAACCGACTCTTAGTGTCTTATTTTAAGACGCATTTTTTTAGAATGCTGTGTAGAATATTATGAAACTGATAAAATCCCAACGACCGCTAACTGTACGTTATTTTTGTAAACACTAAGTTATTCGTAAACGTGACCTGGGCCTCGTTATTTTTGTCTACCTTTAGATTATCCAATATATATCGTTGTTTATTAAGTTGACCAAATACATTCAAAACTGTTCGTTGTGCATTTTCACCCGGTAGTCTTAATCCTTGAAATTCTTTTGGTAACTTTCCACGACTTAAGAAAATTGGTGGTGCATCTCGTCCGCTGTTTGGTGGTAACACTTCTCGGATCTCCATTGTATCGTCTAAAAATTTAGATCGATATTAAAGAAAATTTGAGAGTAAATCTCATTTACCCGATAGAAAGTAATGTAAAACAAATTCTCTTATGTCACCATATAGACTATCAGTGTTGTCCCAAACAGCCCAAAAGCGTAATACATGTTGATCGTGATTTAGAAATTTTTTTAATGTATCAACTTTTTCATAAGGTCTTAGAGGATTTTGTCCACCATCTAGCTAAAATTGCAGATTAAAGAGTATCATTAACTACACTGTCGAAAAACAAGTGCTCCGCCAGCTAAAAAGGGCACTTTGATGGACGATGAATGTGGCACCTTAAGTGTCTTGCTCTGGGCACTTCAAGCACAAAAATGCTGCAGGAAAAAATCTTGTAAAACTTATGTAGCATGTATAATTCCATGTCTATGCAGCACTTCTCTCGATACGCCCAGATTTCCTTTTCTGTACGATTTTATTGTATTTCCAAACAATTTTTATACCGATTCTTTAGTGAGACAACGCTTATCGCTTTAAGGAGTTGATATCTATACTTACAACTTGTCTATGTTTCAAAAATGGATCTTCGGGTGGACAAAAACCTAAACGAAACTCATTACGGTGAGCACGATAATGATTGTAATTAACTGTTAAGTCACTCACCTGGAGGAACTCGAACTCCAAGTTTGGTTAAAAAATTTCGTGTAAATTGATCACAATCAATTATTTTATACACTCGTCCATAAAGTGATAATTCACTGCCAACATTGAAATATTCAATTGTGTAAAAACGATCATCATTTGGAGCAACTAATGGCACACGATGTCTCTTCAAGATAGTGCCTTGGGGAAAACCTACATTCGCTTGACGTTGTTCAACAACTTGAACAGTGTCATCTTCTGGATAAAAATAAATATGACATTTTCGAATACGATATTGTTCTTGTGGACGTTCTGTTATAGATTCTTGAAAATAAGCATCGAAACATAACACTTGTTTGTCAAAAGCTAACCAGGCCGGACGATCTGGTCCTTCTCCTAGTTACTCGAGAAAACACATAAAGTACGATAAAAGACCGAAGAATGCGCTAACAAAACCTCTTGCATAAACTGAATTTTTTGGGCGTAAATCTTCACCAGGCAATGGAACTCCTCCAATACCCAACTGTGTCCCTGTTGACATTGCAACGCCGTTGTATTTGTCAAATTGATGAGGACGATGGTACTTGTCATTACCAAGCTAGTATTAAGATGATTGAATACAGATATAGGAAAAATTGGCTTTCGATCAGGAGGAGCACGTTCCCACAGCTCAAGTATAACTAGTAAAAAATGATATTTGTCTAAATAAGATTGCTCTAGTATTACTAATTAAATGATCTTTTTCTCATGATATGTGACTGAAGTGCGTCTTGAGATAACCTACTTTTCGTTCGAATGTATTCCCGGGTAAAAACGGCAGGGCCATGAGAAAGTGATATTCTTCTTTTAAATGATCGTTGGAAAGCACGATTCAAATGATTATCAGGAACATAGTTACTTCTGTTAACAGCTACCATTTTTATAGTTTCCAGAGTCGGTTACTAAGGAAGACCCTCTTAAATCCAGTCAAATTAGTAAATTATAGCCTTATGAATATGATCAAGCTTCGTATAAACATTTCCGATAGATTTGTATCGTTCTCATTTAGTGTTGGGTACAACGGTATTATAACCATAGAAGCGTCCTAATTTTTGCCGAAAGCAATATAATGCATATCGTTGCTGACTTTCACGTTTTTAGAAAACAACGCAGAGGCATGCTTCGACAAAATGTCGGCCTAAAAGTCCAAAAATACACCATATTTTTATCAGTACAGCTGATATGATTCGTTCGATTTTAGAAAGAAGAGAAAACGTTGTGTCTATGAGGTCGCACTTCACCGTAAGTAAGGGATATGACATTTAACTCTCATTCTCAAGGCAAAATTCATTATCTGGTTGGTGTTCTACGTTCGCGAATTACAAACAGGAAATGTCACGGACTGCTAGAATAGAAAAAGTTATCTTGTCCTCTTTTAGCCACAAATAACAGCTGATAATAACGGCCAAAAGGAAGACAACGAAAATGTCACGTGTAAATGTTGTTTTGCAAAATTCTATTTTCCCTAAGGACTTCAACGTCTTTAATGTTGAAAGAAACGTTGTTCGCTGTGATATTAATGAAAAAGTCACTTAAAATCAGAACTGAGTAATTGACTGACCGATGGCCCTTAGAAAGATTTCATATCACCGGATCGAAAAATTTCAAAACTTGTTCGGTGAAAACCGATTGCAGATTCGTTTTCTCCATGATTGATTATGTGGTACGCAACAACTTTTGGATCGGGGTACTTTAGAAAAAAAATTTCCCATGATCTTGTTCAAAAAATTTTCAGAAAGTTACCGTATGGGAGGGACCAAAGGCAAAACGATGTCGAAAATTTTTTCTAAAGTACTCCGATCCAGAAATTATCGCGTACCACATAATCAACCATGGAGAAGACGAATTTGCAATCGATTTTGACCGAACAAGCTTTTAAATTTTTCGAACCAGTGACATGGATGATCACGAATTTTGCCCGGTTTTTCTTCTCATGATATTCTGATATTTTTTAACCTAATGTCAAAGAAGGATATTTATTGACGTGATCGCGATTGGTCAACGAATGAAGTCATGTTTTAACGGACATGGACTGTTATTAGTCATCTGATTATGGACACCACCGGAATTTCAACTAAAAAAATCCTATGTGAAAGACTTTTGCAAATGGAAGACTTTCCCTTGCAATAGGAGGAACGTACTGAAAATACTTTTTCTACGACTATGCAACTAATGGCATCTAAGGATTAGCAACATTACATTTCAGCATTTTTTATCGTTTTCTTTTATTCAAAACGGCACTAAAAAGAAACATCATTTGGAAAGAAAAAGAGTTAGTAGAATAAATTAGGAAAATTTCCTCCATTTAAGTGAGTGCATTTTGTCGATTAACCACAAACTAGTTAGTTCCTTTGTAAGAATAAAATCAAGAGAAGACCATACCTTTTTGCTAAATACCTTCGGTTTCAACGATCTTCGTTTAGACATATGCATATCAGTGTACTAAAATATGATATGGATTTACTATTTTTATATAAGCTTTTGTGATTGAAACAAATTTTTCCTACAAAAATACATTTAAAAACAAAAGTCCACAGTCGCACTGGAAGCAGGCAACTCTGTGACTTAGTTCAACTAGACAGGCTTTTCAAAGATTATGCTTCGTTCGATGGATCAGAGACTTAGAGACAGCCATATGGGTGCGAAAGCCCGTTTGTGAAAACATACTATAAAGTTACATATTCCTCCCGTTTACTCCATCATTTCAACCAGACTTTTTTATTTTTATGGTATACTTGACAAGTTAGGAGTCACAAATATAGCGTATCTGTGATAAATACGAGTTATCTTCATTATTTTTTGTTATTCAAGAGGTTCACCGACCTTTTTTGGGTGTTTTCTTTAGAAATTCTACCAGTATTAATCCGATCTAAATGATCAAGGATTAATATTTTCTGAGATCGTTAGATTTTGTCCCTATCACAGGAGCCAATATTTTTTGAAACTCGGTTTTCAGTCGATCGCATTATTACTGCTTGCAAAATTCATCCGAATGAGTTTTCACTAGTACCACTCGAACTGCTTTGATAGGATTTTTTCTATTTGTCCCGTTTCTTACAGCAAAATTTCTGAAAAATCGCTCAAAACTCGACTTTTCGATTTCAGAAACCATAATATGACGTCCGTAATTCGAAGTTTCAGTAACTTTTTCTCTTTGATATATTTATACATGGTTGGATAGAGGACATGGAGCTGAGTAAGAAAAGTTAGTTCAATCTTTTTGGGGATGAAAATTTTGAAAAGTTGTGAAGGACCGATTTTGCTCAAAATTGCTACAGTTTCAAAAAATTCAAAGTTTGCATTTCCTTTCTGCTTTCAAATTTTGACTAACTAACTTCTTTGAATTTAGCATTGAAAGCTGAGTATAAAGAAAATGCTTGATTGATCTCAAACCTAAAAACTGATTTAGTCTGCTTCAATTGAACTGACCCTCCAAAACGACAGTAGGCCATTTTGCAAACCTATCTAGCTTTTTGTGTTAATACATTTTGCCATTTCTCTTATCTTATTCGAACGACCAAACTGTCAGCTTTAACATGACGTATCGCTTTTTTTTAATTTTATTTCCCCGCTAAGAAAATTCATTTTTTCTAGATCGGAAGCGAAATTCTGTCCGTAATTCTTATTTTTTTCTCCACGAGAACTCATTTTTTATGCAATAAAAATATCATATTTAGAATCGGCTTTTGATAGAAAAAGGATAGGAACCTGTGGTCTTCAGCAATCGAACGTTGGCAGTTTAAGCTATATTTTCACAAGCAGAATCGTCTTTCGAAAACATTCTGAAGATCAGTTTTCTACAAGATCTTTGGAAAACCAGCTTGGATTCCTAGAAATCGACACAGTGATCTATCATTCTGTTTTCATACATAGGTAGTCCGAAGTGTCCTCTGCAAAATAAGATTTAAGCAAAAGTTTGGTTTTGTTTGATTCATACGCTACGGACTTTTTTCCCGAAGCCTTAGGATTTCCCTTTCGTTATGTTTAGACTGTCCGAAATGCATGAAAACATAGATTATCTGCTAGGCTGAATCTCGTAGCAACATTTCTTTTCAAAAAGTTTCAAAAACCTAGTGAACACGTATATGAACGTAGGTGAAATATTCCATATCTGCCTATTATTGAGTAAAATCAAAAAATTCATAACCCAGTCAAGATCCATCCAGATCATGTCAGAATATCAAGATGTACTCTATTTTACCTGCTCAATACTATGCAGTTCAATAAAAGCTTTAAAATCAACAGAAAATACTTGGGTTTTTGAAAGGGTTTCTAGAAATCTTTCGAACAACAACAATGTTTTTTACTATTCTCAAGTGAAAAATCGTTTGGAACAGTTAAAATCATTTTTCTATCAAAATTTATTTAAAAAGCAACCGAGACCACTGTCTTTTTGGATGAACAATAGATAGTTTTACAAAATGACCTACTGTCGTTTTGGAGGGTCAGTTCAATTGAAGCAGACTAAATCAGTTTTTAGGTTTGAGATCAATCAAGCATTTTCTTTATACTCAGCTTTCAATGCTAAATTCAAAGAAGTTAGTTAGTCAAAATTTGAAAGCAGAAAGGAAATGCAAACTTTGAATTTTTTGAAACTGTAGCAATTTTGAGCAAAATCGGTCCTTCACAACTTTTCAAAATTTTCATCCCCAAAAAGATTGAACTAACTTTTCTTACTCAGCTCCATGTCCTCTATCCAACCATGTATAAATATATCAAAGAGAAAAAGTTACTGAAACTTCAAATAACGGAAGAAGAGAAAAAATTGATTGAAAAAAGCATTTCAATGAATTATTTTCTGGTGTTCTTAGTAAAGTTTTCGGCACAGATCAGACGAATTTTTTATGACGTCGTGATGATACTAAATGCAGTGTGATGAATGTTTTAGCCGCAGGCATTGTATCGAAAAGAAACCGTTTCCATTTTTCAACTGATCAATACACTATGTTTCAGATTTGAAAGGAAAAATTCTTAAACACTCAGTGAAACCGCTTTTTTAGAAAGACTGTCCCATATGTAAGGGAACAGTGGATAACTCTGTCTTAAACTGTTTTACTGGCAACTTTTGTTCTTACGGATTTTTTGTCACATATATCCGTTTCAATCGAAAGACTTCATGTGTCATTACAACTAAAAATTTTCCTTTGTTTCTAGCATCGATTAAACATGTTTCTATCGCTTGGTCGTTCACATACATTTGGACACCGGTTCAAATGAAAAAAAACTCATAGGTATGATTTTGTAAATGATTTTTTGCAGGTATATTTTACATGTTTTAAAGAGTGGACATCCGGTATTTCTAATAAGGTTTTATAGTAACATATTGCATACACATTGTTCTCTTGAGCTTTAAACCGTGTAGAAAAGGAGCGGGACGTACTTGATCAGAAAACGGCCCCTCATTTTTTTGCCTTACTTTGACTGGACTTTTGTCGAAAAGACATTTGCACACATTGCCCCGTTGTTCTTATGGAAAATAAGCTCAAAATACGTTTTTAACAT